AAGGAAGGAAGGAAGGAAGGAAGGAAGGAAGGAAGGAAGGAAGGAAGACCTAAGAGGTCTGTTAGGGGGCGTGCCTACTGTCCCTGTCCTATTGTTTCTTTTATTTTTCTTATATGTATCCATGTATTCATAACTATGTTTTTACTTATACCTATTATCTTGTAAGCAATTGACAAACCAAATAAAATAAAAATAAAATAAAATAATAAAGTTTTGTACCTAATTGAGTGAATATATGTTAAATTCAAATCCTTTTGCACAGATGGGTCTTTGCTTAAGGCATTCAGAAAAGCACTATATAACAGTGAATTGCTCTATATTTAAATTATCAAGATGATTTGTGAGCTGTAAGCTAGACAAATGTATAAAGCCACACTTTTTCCTTAATTACTTAAGTGAATTAAAGCACAATATGGTACAATTTACTCTGATATATATGTTCAACACAATTCAGCGGACTTAAGACCTGGAAAATAGGCCTTTCTTACTGCAAGAAAGTATTCAAAAATTGTGGCTTGTTCAAAATTGAAGAAGCTTCTTGGATAAGAATTGAAATGTCTTCAGATCAAAAATTATGTCCAGCTGCCATTTGAAAAAAAAAAAAGCACCTTTGGAATTACTTTTGTCTTTTTTTCTATTTTTTTTAAATAGGTTTTTTTGTTACCTTAATTGTTTACCTCTTTGGAACTGTGCACATTCATCAGCCTAGTAAGATGTAAGTGCTTATTAAATAAATAATTAGAATTATAGTTAGATAGTTTTGACTTCTTAAAATAATTATTAATAATATTTTATCATTAAACTTCTTTTGCTACGTTTTTGTGATTTTAAAAAAGAAAAAATCTAAGAATATGAATGAAAACAGTCACGTAATGCCTTGACATTGCAGATATAAAATCCACTATTTTTAGTACATTTAAAATGCTGTATTCACTCAGCTAGGATTCTGAAAAAAAATTATTGAAATGATTTCTCCTTTTATTTAGCTGAAGTGTTTGTCTGCATTATTCTTTTAATGAAAAATCATAGGCTTGTCCTATTGAATAACCAATCTTAAGATAAACAAAACTGTCCCTTTATGATTTGCATTTACCTTTTTGTTATGCGGAACTAAGAATTTAGCAGAGACTGAACTAAACAAAGTATTTAAAAAAACACACACAAGAAATAATGTCTGAAAGGCAGGGTGACTTACAAACAAATTCACAGATTAGGCAACTTGCAGCTTGCATTGGAATTTAAGATAACCCAACAGAAGAACTATATAGTAGGACTGTAATTATATAGCCAATGCTTTTCAATTCCAACTATATTTATTTGTTAATCAAATGTACTAACCACTCATCTCACCCAAGGAGAGTGCATAACAATAGATAAAAAGCAAGAAAATGAAAATGCAAAATACAACTATATAAAAAAACCTATAGATATCTTAAAAAAACATAACCCATAACTGAAGGATATAAAAATATATCCCTCAACAAGTATGATATCTAGACATATCTCAAATTCATATGAGATCCAAGCTTGGTCACATAACCAGATCTTAAGAACCTTTCAGAATATCAAAAGGGATGGGGCTATATAGAAGTTTAACTGAATATGCCCTCCATTTCAGAATTAATTTCCTGACTGGAGTTCAGTTAAATGCTGGGTAATTTCATACCACTAATAAAGAATAAAGTGAAATTAACTTTAATAATTCATAAATTAATAAAGAAGTCTGTGAAATTAACCATTGACTAATATGAACTCCTTTATCAAGAGAACAATTTTATATCCTTGCAGTGTACCCGAAAATATTAATTATTTCTATTATACAGATAGTCCTCGACGTACAACCATTCATTTAGTGACCATTCAAAGTTATAATGTCACTGAAAAAATGACTGATGACCATTTTCTACCTGAATGACCATTGCAGCATGCATATGGTCATGGGATTTACATTTGGATGCTTGACAACTGGTTCATATTTGTCACGGTTGCAGTATTCCTGGGGTCATGTGATCTCCTTTTGCCACCTTCTGACAAGCAAACTTAAATTAGTAACCGTGTTACTAATTTAACAACTGCAGCGATTCACTTAACAAATGTGGCAAGAAAAGTTATAAAATGGGGGCAAAAGTCACTTAACTAATTCCCACCCCATAAATTCTGGGATCAATTGTGGTCATACGTTGAAGACCTACCTGTATTACATTTTTTTTTCCCATTCAAAAGTTCTATTTGATCAAAGAAATTAAAATTTTAGATTTAACCCCAATAGACACATCCCTTTCCTTAGTGTTACCTTTTGAACCAAGCAGCAAAGAAACAAAAATTCTCAACCGCAAAAGATGGAACCTTTGGAAAATAATTGCTACAAAATGATAGTGGTATCAGAGACATCTGCAAGGGTAGTTAAATAAGTCAAGTGATGATGGTAAATGCATGAGCCAAGTTCTGGTCCTTTTTTTACAGGCATCATAGCAAGATGGGACTGGATTTCACCATCAGAGCTGCCATCTTGACTTTTTGACATCCTTTCCCACAGATGCCCCTGCATAATGCACTTTTGGGACAGGTACCTTAAATCTCCTACTCACTTGATTCTATAGCAGTAACAGTTAGGTTGTGCCAAATCTGTTTCTCGCGGTCCAGATGTTCAGTTATACTAATTGTTCCATTGTGGGCATCGATACTGAAAAACTCCTTTACGTACTTGCGGTGGGCAATAGAATATCTGCACATGAAAGATTTTTTAAAAGAGAAGGAAAAAGAAGAGTGAGTTTCTGAGACCTGGAATACAAAAAAATCCTCCATAAAGAAGGATGTATAAACTATTGTCAGTCAAGAAAACAGAATTGTGTAGCCATGAATATGGATATGTGGGCTTTGGCTATTCAGAAATCATGAAAAATGAACAGTGATAAACATTTAAAATTCACTGCTGCCAAGATCAAAGCCCCTCTTTTTATGCGCTGAAATATGTTCATACCTGTATTAGAGTGAAGCAAATGTAAAATGCATTATTCATTCCTCTTTCACAGACAGGCTCCCAGCAGATGAAGGACTCGATTAAAAAGAGACAGTGAAGTGCCACTTGTGAAGTGACTCACACTGGCAACTAAGTTGGGCTACGGCAGTACATTTTTATTGTGGCTGCTTTGAAACAATGTCAAAGGGAAAAAAGAAATACTAAGAGGAGAAAGGCAAAAGAACAACTACCACTTCCATTAAACATAAAGGATAGAAAACCCTTGGAACCAGGAGAACAAAACCGATAGATTTATTTTCACTGACTTCACAGACTTCCCTACCTCTCAGAGCCAGAAACTTTATGAAAGTTTCTTTTTTTTCCCCCTGAATCCCATGATGCAAGGGATACAGTGCAAGCAGAAGATTTCTCTACAACCTCCATTCCAATAAAATAACTACATGTGCAATGTTCAGGCCTACATCAATGATCTTGGGGAGTAATCGTCAATGGCACTAAAAACCATATAATAATATTATTATGTCCAGCCATATCTATATCCAGGCCTATCTTAAGATTTGGGGTGTACCTGATTGGGCTGTCAATATCATCTGGATCACTGGCACTCACAGTTCCCACCAATGAGCCTTTCAAGTTGTCTTCAGCAACCTCCATGAAGAATTCATCTAATACAAAAACTGGAGGTTCATCAGTATCCTTCACTATGATCCTGAGAATCGTTTCATCTTCAAACTTAGTGTCTTTTTCAAGGAACCGTTTTTCAACATGCCTGTTTATGCCTTTTACTTTGATTTTGTATGCCCTTTGGCTTTCATAATCAACTGTCTGTAAAAAAGAAGAAGAATATCCAATACTGAGAAATTAACAATAAGCAGGTAATTGAGAAACATTGCTTTGGTTTCATAGGGAATGTTTTCAAAATAGCATGTTATCTATTTCATTTTTCTCCCCTAAAGGGAAGAAAATGTTAGTGTAATCCTCATGAGTGCACTTTTTTTACAGTTAGCTTTTTTATTAGTTGATTTTGGTAGTATAAGTTATGATGTGGTGTTTCATCCTGTCCAGTGATCTACACTTTCCCTGGGTTTTCCATCCAAGAGAAAGAGAATCATCATGAACAAATCCTCCAATGTTTCCCAGCCAGGAAACATGGGGAGATAAGGAAGAAGCAGAATTGTGGAGAGAGGGATCACTTCTGGAATGGAATGAAACAATTTGCCACAGCCTTCTCACCATGGCCATCTCACCATGGCCAACTTTCAGAGGCCATCTTGCCACAGCCAACTTTCTGTGGCCATCTCTCTGTGGCCAACCCAGTATGGTTATCTCAGTGTGGTCATCTCGCAACAGCCAACTCACTGTGGATAACTTTCTGCAGGACAATTCTGTGTAGGATAACTCACTGCAATAAATGTTATCTGCCACTGTTTCCTCAACGTTATTTCCATTGACAAAAAATGGAAATAACGTAGAAGAAACAGTGGCAGATAACATTTATTACAATGGGTTTTGCTGTGTGGATTGTCTGGTAGGGAGTTCTCTCGCAGCAAGTGGGCCACAATGAGTTGGCTACAGTAAGATGGCCATGGTGAGATGATTGCAGCAAGTTGTCCTAGATCCCTTCTGGGGGCGGGGGCGGGGGGGGGGGAGACAGCAGAACACATAGTCTTTGCAATGAACAGTTATGATTCTCCATAAAAACAGAAGAAGCATTGATTGCTGCCCTTTACCGCCATTTCATCCTGGGCTGCTCATTTGGGTCATTATGTTCTCTGCCAGGAGTGTCAAATGGCAGCCTGCGGGCTGGATGTGTCATGTGCAGGCCACGCCCACCCCAGCTAAGCAAAGGTAAAAGAGGTCACAATACATCATGTGATGTCACATGATGTGATTGAGTTCGACACCCATTTGATTTCCACTCATTATGTGTCCACTATACCACAACTTTTTATAGTACTTCAGTAGCAACACAGGCATGTTGGAAGGAAGTTACACAATTGCAATGAATGCTATTTCTTTACTTCTAAGAATCTGGACCATCAGTTCTCTGTTTCCTGAAATTTCTATGGGCCTAGAGTGGAATGAAGGAATAATCTGTGTCTTTTGGTTTGATATAGTAAGATGAGTACTGAGTAGGAACACTATAGAATATATGAAGGGAGTGTAAAAGAATGCATGCATGCGTGAAAACATTTTGGAAAGCAAAGGAAAAGAATGGGGACTATTGAGAAGAAAACAGTCCCTAAAAGCAACAAAGGTAGACTCTGGGAGATTCAATCAATACAGGCTATCCGTTAAGGCTTGTCTTTCTTATACAGATTAGAAGGTCGAGATGCCAGGACTGACTGATCATAGCTTGAAAAAACCATAGTCTGAGCACCAAACCAGCTTCATTGCCAAACCACTACAAACCAGACTGGAATTTTAAAAGCAACATTGGAAGTAAGTAGTTTAGCCTGCAGAACAAAATTAGACTTAATAAGGACTGCTCGAAAGAGTTATTACAAGGTAAGCCAAAAGAACACATTTCTTGAGACAATCTGAAGTCGGTAGAGTTTAGCGCAGAATATTTAACTTTCTCAGTCAAGAATGATTAACACTGTTTGTTTCCAGGTATGCAACAAGTAAACTGCCTATTTTATGAATATGTTATATTGATTGTGCTAATGTAGGACAAAACGTTAGAAAAGATGACAGAATGGCTTTTATATTTATTACAACTTCTTTCCATCCAACCATATAATGAGTAAAGCTGTTTGATTTTGCCTGTTTCCCTATTTCTTATGTAACAAATCACATCTCACCTTGTTCAATATGACAATTCCTTCCTGGGTGTCATTCTTAGTAATGATACAAATGATATGTGGGTTATCTTCTTCTATTATATAATCCATAGCTGCATTGTCTCCTATGTCACTGTCATTTGCCATGATTTTGCCAAGGATGGTGCCCACGGGAGCTGCCTCGGATACATTCATTTCATAGCGCTCTTAAAGAAAAGGCAATTATCAGTACAAGCCTGATTAAACGTTCATTGTTCATTTGACAGCAACAAAATGTAAATCGTGATCCTTTCTGAGAATCACATTGTTATGTAAAGATTTGTTGTAACAAATATTTCTTTGTGCTATTAGCTCATTGTCTTTAATAATAGCTTTTGACTGTTTAATTTAACCATTCTTAAATTTCAAAAGAAGTAGCTGTATAGAAGGTTTTTTTAAGTATTGCAATATAGAACTGCTAAATCTCTTGTGTCTGAAGTTTTTCCTTTTAACCTGACACATTTATACCCTTGTTTATAATTAGAATAACACCAGCAAACAGTAGAACATCAAAATATATCAAAGTTCTTAAATTTGAATACTGATCAATTCGAAAATCCACTTTCCAAAGCAGATAAAATAAAGAAAATTCAACCATCTTTTATTTTTGTTATATCCATATTATTGTCACCTTTTTTCATTCACTCCTCCCCCTCTTCTCTCCTCCCCCTCTCCTGGAAGCTTCCTTCATACATCAATCACATTGGTTATGCTTCTGCTACCAGGACATGATATTCCCTCAAAACCCTTTTCTCCCCTTGCTTTTATCCGATTCTTTTTTCTCTATTTTCTTTTCCTAATTGGGAAATGAACATACTGGTCTTCTGATGTGTCTCCTTCATTCAGAGCAACTAGTAATAAATAAATAAATAACAACCGCAAAGCCCAATATATGTATTAAAAGAAAAATAAAAACAAATACATTAACGCAACTACAGTAAGGTTTTATCATGTAAAAGTCTTCTGCTCTTACATATGCAAATCAAGATTCTTCTGAACTGTTTATTTCAAATTACCTTATAAATTTACCCATAATAAATTTACCCATAATAAAGAACAAAGTCTCTCCCCCAACCCTTTAGTTAGTTACTTTGTTATGTAGCATTTTTTGATTTTGTTGCCTTTTTAAAAAAAATTAATTTCAAGATAGAATTTTGTGGATAACTGGGAGCCACCATTTAAATAAATTTATGTAACATCACTGTTCTTGTTACTGAGTCATGTCTGGGTAAGTTTATGCTATTAGCTTGGAAACTAACTCTACAAATTTGAGGTTCTATCTCTGTTCTAAGGCAAGGGGTATTTTCATTTTCCTAAGTTAAAAATCTGTTGGATTGTTAGGAACTGCTTTGTTTTCCATGTTACTCCCTATTGGTTTATCACTTCACTACTTCATCTTCCTAGGATTTTTGTCCTTAGATAACTCTCATTTCAGTACTTCATTATATGTTATATATGTATATCATATAGCCAAACTTGAGTAGTTGTGTGATAATCATTCAGGAAGACAGAAAAAGAGATAGCTTTAAAGATGAAGCAGAGAGGAAAATAATTTCTTCCAGTAGTATAATAATTTCTTATTTTTAAAAAATTGTGAGCTTCCAAGACTTTTTTTACATGACAACTTGGTGCAGCATTAGCATAAAATAACTGGCATTTAGTAAATTAAAGTTAGAGGCAAATTGTTATGGTTTATTTATTTAAATTTACTACATACTTAACTCCGATGGAATTTTAAAAGTTTTTAGAGATAGATTATGGCAAACAACTAGCAATAACAACAGCGCTTAGACTTATATACCATTTCACAGTGCTTTACAACTCTCTCTAAGTATTTTACAGAGTCAGCATATTGCCCCAACAATCTGGGTCCTCTTACTACAATCTATTCTGTTTTATTGTTTTACTGTTGTACTGTTATTTATTGGTTTTATTGTCAGTAATTGGTAACTGGTTATTGTTTTGAGCCCTCCAGATTTGCTTAAGATGCACAGCCATGTAAATCTTTTAAATAAATAATCAGTCAATCAATCTTGGATTCCTTCTATGGAACCAGTGTGTTTTATATGAAGTGGGGAAAACTCAAATGATATACTTTTTGTTTTAACAAGGCTGAAACACCATGTGGATGCTACCTGGGAAAGACACATTTTATTTATATTCTGATGTTAGGGTGAACTGCCATGATCTATTTTATCTAAACTTCTTTTAAGAAGTGATTAAGAAATTTCAGGTAGTACAACATACAGCTGCTTTCTCAATCCCAGTGCTAATTTAAACTTGAAATGTTGGGTGAGGTACTTTCACTTGTAGCAAGCTTAGTTGCCAGTAGAGATCCTTCCCAGTTATTGTAAGAGAGAGATTGGCAAGTACAAATTTAGGAAATGTATGAAAGGACAGTTATATATTATCCAATATATATCCAATATATTTTGAGCTTAGAAGCATCTTCAGGTCATTGTTCTCATCAGAAAAGATCTCTAAATCCTCTTGTTTTTCCTTAAACTGTATTCTTAACTGCCTTACTATTGGTTTTAATGGCAATGTTTAACATTTATAGTTTGTATTGATTATATTGATTCATTTGAAATATGAATATAGTGTAAAGGTTTCATCCTTAAACATATTCCAGTGCATAAATAAAAAAATGTAGTACTAACAATGCCTATGGATACAATGAATGTTAAATTAGTGACAGCTCTGTTTGTCCTAGACAAAGATGAAAAAAATATCTTCCTAACTTCCTTGTCCATTTATTATTATTATGGTTGATTGCATAGTCAGCCAAATGTTGAGACTAGATTTGGCATTTTTATCCACCTGTGAAATTCTTCCCAAGGACCTGGAATAGACAGGCGCTGTTGTTTGATGGTGTTAAAGGTACTGTTGCAGGATGTAAGCTGTTCCAAGAAAGCTGCCTTTCTGGTGGTGATGTTGTCAATGGTGCTGGTGTTCAGATGGTGCTCCAGATGTATCCAAGGTACTTTCACTATTACTACTATCTTTACTTTCTTTTGCTACAAATGCTTATAACTGCCTGTATTTTCATGCCTTTGTATTCTGTTATTTTCTTGAACTCTTTCTTGTTATTCTGCTGTCCAGAGACTGCCATGTCCATATCCAGACATTTTTGCCATTCTTATTGACAGTTGTTACGTCTGTGATTATGTGGCAGGTATGTGTCTATTTGTATTTTAAAGTCCCAGAGCACTTTAACTTCTTCTTTTTCTATTTCTTGGTCTAACTACCATCATTTTTTTTCTTGAAGACAAATGATTATGGAAATAAAATATGGTATGATTATATTTATTGTATTAAAAATTATTCCAGAAATAATTGATACATACTGTTTATATATCAGTACTAAGAATTCAGTGACAAAACAAATTTTCTTAAGGTTCCTTGATGAGGGAAATGAAGTTCATACATAATAATTATTAAATGTAGGCACAGTGTAATACTAGCTTTCAATTACTGTTAACATACTAGGAATACAATATCTAATTGCATGGGTATTCAAACGGTAAAAAATGATGAAAATACATTCAACTTACTATGTTGAAAACGAGGAGGATTGTCATTAACATCAGAAAGATTAATAGTCACTGTTGTTGTTCCTGAAGGTCCACCAATTTGTTTGACTGTAGCTTTGATAACAACAAAATACTTATCCTGGGTTTCTCTGTCTCCTGGATAGGCTGTTCTAACCACACCTATATAATGCAGAAGGAGCAGAGAACATCCATTTTGTGACAAACAGTAAACCAAGATCTTGATCTGGATAATTATTTTATACTGGATTTATAAAAGAAATTTGTCAAAACTTGGATGAATTATGAATTATGAATTATTAAAAAAAGAAGTAACAATAAATCAAATTCTCTGACATGATTTGAATTGGACTAAAGATTAAAACTTTTAGAAATAAAAAGGAGGAATAGAAAGTTAGATTATTTCATCAAGGTTAAAATATACTGGGTTTTTTTTCTAGTAACCTTTAATAAGGTAAAAAGTTACAAATTTTGTTTATACTTCTGGTTGGAGTACTTCTTTATGTATTTCTTTTTTTCCCTTTACTCTAAACAATTTTTTTTTCATTTTTCTGATTTCTTTTTTCTTTTGGTTTGCATCAGTTTTTACTATTGCAATTATAATCTTTTTTTTAAAGAGTGAATAGTCATTGTGGATTAAACCAAAAACACAACTAGTACAATTTGCTACTCTCCAGTGGCAAACCAGATGTGATGTAATAGCAAATAGTAAATATAGTCAAATTTGGGTGGCTATATTAATTTTATACATAAATTAAAATTATCAATCACTAAATATGATAATGATCATTATTAATAGTGTTATTCTCAATAGCTTTATCCAAACAATTGCCATATTTTTGTCATTTTAGTTAACTGCTCCCTGATTTCCCCCCTTTTTGTATGACCTAAATTTTTCCCATTCAGGTTCATTGCAGTTTATTTGAATTCTAATACTAAACAAGGAAGAAAAACCTGGCATATTCACTTTTTTGTACAACTCTGTCCTCATTTACTGTAGCTTCTAAGAGGCAGTGTTCCAAACATTACACTCTTTCCACAAATGTAAATTCCCCAGCACCTCCATTTCTTGCTAGCTCTAATTTGCATTCTGCACTATTATTTTGAAATGTCATGGCCTCATACTACCATTCCAAATACCTTTGCATGTTAAAAGGATCTGGATGGTATTTATCAACCTAACTCTTTGTTAGAGACCAAATTTCAAACTTAAAGTATAGGATATTTTGTTTTATAGTAAACTTATACTTCTGCATGGAGAAAGAAATCATACAATCAATATTCAGTCTTATAATTTATTAAGTAAGGGAGGAAAGTCAAAATGTTGTGATAGTATGCATTTTTTTACCCAAGCAAGATTGTTAGATTGAAACTATATCATGATAGTTCAAGTCCTTGATTCAGTAAATAATATTGTACATATGGCTTTCTGATTTTCTAGATGAGATGGGTGATACATAAATCAAATAGATAATAAATACATAAACAAAAAAACAAATAATCTTACTGAATTAAATCTCATTTATTTGTTTTGTGAACTAATCATAAAAATGAATCTGATAAAAATTAGAGAATACAATATACTTCGGTGATTTATTGGTGCTACTTAAGTTAGAAGAGAAACAATACCTGAAGTTGGTTCCACAGAAAAATAGGGCTGTTCTGGCAGAATACTATAAATCAGACGAACACCTGTTGGGTATGTTGCCGTCACCTGAATGACTGAGGTACCTGAGAAAATATTGGATGAAAAATTCAGCTGTTATGAGAATATTGATTTTTGGATAGAGACTTGCACCCTTCAGTTATGATATTTTGTTACATTTCTTTTTATTCTATAATATTAGACCTTTATATCCTTTCTTAGACTAAGGTAAGAAAAGGTCAATATCCCTTTTGTTTTAATAATAATAATAATAATAATAATAATAATAATAATAATAATAATATTTTCTCATCAAGATCACATCTTTGTTCTAAAGATGTAAAATTCCTTTAGGACATGAAACATGATCTGCAAAAGCGGCACTCACTTGCTGAAATCCTTGGTAGCGGTCCTATTTCATGAGTGAGGAGGAAGTAGAATCTTTCTTTATTTGAAATTAAGGGCTGTCTTAATTTTATCCATTTGTTTACTGTTGTACAGATGTTACAACACCTGACCTTTATTGAATCTCACATTTGAATGGATAAGGAAGCTGATTTTGGCTGTCCATGGCAGTAAGATGGAGTTTCTTTGTAACTATTTTATGTTTTATAGTTTAGCATTTCTGTGAGGAATGAGGGGCATTATGGTCATAAAAACTGAACAATGTCAGGGATAAAATGATAATTGGAATATAACAAGCTTTAAAGCTGCTTCACAAATCAACGTGCCACCCTTGGTTCTACAAGTAAAATAATGTGCTTCTTCATGACATTTGCTCTATCTTCTCTGACAATTCCAGCAGCCAGAAGAAGCTTCCAATAAAATATGGAAAGAAACTGGGATACATTTTGGTGCATGAGTCTCTCTGGAGCTTTGAGGAGACATAAAACACATTGAAGAGGTTCATATCATTTGGTGGACTGAGGCAAAGCTGTGCCATCTGCACTTAGGCAGATAAATAAATCCATTTAGAAGCATCGCCTATAGATACGATGTCCATATTTTCTTGGAAAATATAAAGGACAAAGCTAAAATGGGGGCAAATCGGAAAGATGTTCATACAGATAAACATGTTGTTCATTGTTTATAATGATTGTTTTATATTTATAAGTTTGCTTTACAAAGAATATTTAAAAGCAATACACACACCCCAAAAAATAAAAGCTTTAGATGAAAAATATTTTCTGATAAGAATACTTAAAATGAAACTGTAAATGTAACTTTATGTTAAAAAGACAATTCAATTTCTCCTTTTTTCCACATTAATGTAGAAGACTAGGTATTAAGTGTACCATTGTATATGTTGTGTTCGGAAAAGACTGAGCTGAAGTCTCCACTCCGATCCGTGTTTCCAGTGGGAACACATACTGTTCCTATTGGCTGATGCTGTTTGACAGCTGGCTTTAAAAGGGAGCTATCAAACAGTATCAGCTGTTGTCCGCCAGCTGGCTGCCTTGTTAGAGTGGCAGCTGCGGCAACCCTTTATTGTTATAATAAAGTAAAAAGCTGAAGTTTGCTCCGCGTTCACCTCAGTTATTCCGCCACTCTACAACACTGGCGATGAGGGTGGGATACATATAAGAGGCAACTGAGCAAAGAATCCCTGAGCGAAGTCACTACAAAAAGAGCCGAAGCCACTACTAAGCTGTATATCACTTTAAGAACTTACTGTCACTATTTGCAACTGCGAATTTCAACTTTCTTCAGAAGATACGGCACCACTGAGTTGAGATCACTTCGAACCCTGCGTTCCCACCTTTCAGACCAACAGCAGAAACATGGAAGTCCTACAGAAACCTTTTTGACTGTTTCCTAGATGCAATAGACCTATCTGACATTTCCAACCATAGGAAAAAGTTCTACTTTTTAAGTTTTTGCGGAGCCACAGTGTTTGACACTGCTACAGTATTATTGGCTCCACATTCAATTAAGACTGTTCCATGGGAAGAATTGCAGGAAATTCTTTCCTACCACTATTCCCCTAAGTCATCCTGAATTGCCAGGCATCATGCTTTTAGAAGACGGATTCAGGCTGAGGGAGAGACTATTAGTGGGTACATGGCTGCCCTACGTACAGCTGCCTTGCATTGTGGGTTTAGGGATTATCTGGAGGACATGTTATTAGACCAACTAGTTTGTGGCATCAGGGATTTAAGGCTACAAAGGTGTCTATTGGCTAATGGGGATTTAATCCTTAAATTAGCAACTGAAGAGTTTCAAGCTGCTGAACTGTCAGCACTTTCAGCAGCAGAAATTCAGGGAAATACAATTAGCCAGAGCAGCTCAGCCATCCATTACGATGAAGCCCCCACAGAAGAAGACTATGAAGAGGCTAATGATGTAAATCACCTCAGGCAGCCCAAAACCAGTCAAAGGGAAAACAGGTCAATCCCCAATCAACCTCCACGATGTCAGCCCATTTGTCTAAGCTGTGGGGGAAACCACCTCAGGGCATCCTGCAAGTTCAGGAATGCCATTTGTCTAAAATGCCAGAGAAAGGGTCATTTAGCCAGGATCTGTCAAGCAGGAAAGATTTTTGCCCCAAAGCCTCAGACAACTCAGCATTTCCAAAAACAAATTGAAGACTGTTTCACCTGCTATCAAGCCAAGCTGACTAACAAAGGCTCTAACAAAATCAGTGTTTTTCTTTCTATAGCAGGGAAACTTTGCAGGATGGAGGTTGACATGGGCTCAGCACTGTCCATCATCTCATGGAGCACCTTGAAACAACTGCTTCCCAGAATGGCTAAGAAGAGGCTTCAAGGCTGCGAATTAACCCTACGTGACTTCCAAGGCAGAACCATCCCAGTCATTGGAAAAGGCAAGTTTTTTATTCAATTTCAAAATTTTAAAGGTCACTTGCCTTTAGTGGTAGTGGATGGTGCCCTTCCAAGCCTGTTGGGCTTAGACTGGTTCCCTGCCCTTGGCCTCCATATAAGCAGAATCCACTCTATTGCAAAAGCTGAAGTGGATGCCTTATTTAATGACTATGCTAATGTGTTCAGCGAGGGCCTGGGCTGTTACTCGGGAACCCCAATATCTTTCAACTTGTACCCTCTGGCAGTACCAATCCATTTAAAGCCTCGAAGGGTACTTTTTGCAATCCGCCCCAAACTAGATATGGAGCTTGACAAATTAATTAAACAGGGTATATTAGAACCTGTGGAAATGGGTTTCCCATTTTGGGAATAGTGACACCCCTGAAGAATAGTGACACCCCTGAAGAAAGATGGTAGCTTAAGAATCTGCGCAGATTACAAGAGCTCTTTGAATAAATATTTACAAATCAACGCTTATCCAGTCCCAGTTATCCAGCACCTGCTGCATTCTTTTGAGCCAGAAACCATTTTCGCGAAATTAGACATGTCACAGGCCTATCAACAGTTCCCTGTTGATGACACAGCTGATGAACTACAAACTATTGTAATGCATAGAGGTGCTTTTAAATGTAGGCACTTCCAATTTGGCGTAAGTGTGGCCCCAGGAATTTTCCAATCATTAATGGAAAGACTACTTTGAGGATTACCTGGTGTAGTCCCTTATTTCGATGACATTTTAATATCTGCCCCTGACAAGCCTCAGTTACTGCAAAGAGTCAAAGGAGTCCTCGATTGTTTCAGAAAGTATGGTCTTAGGTTAAAAAAAGTGAAATGCACTATTGCCACCCCACAGGTCGAATATTTCGGATACAGAATTGACGCTTCTGGTATTCACTCAATCAAATCCAAAGTAAGTGATATTCCTGAGGCACCCACACCAACTAACAAAACCAAGCTCCAGGCCGTTTTAGGACTTCTTAACTTCTATGCTTCATTTTTGCCACATAAGGCTTCCATTGCAGAACCTCTGCATAGACTCTTGGACAAGCAATCCTCCTGGCATTGGGGACCAAAGGAAGCCCATGCTTTCCATGCAGTCAAATCATTGCTTACATCCAATGCTGTTCTGATCCAATTTAATGAACATTTACCTTTAGTTTTAGTAGCAGATGCTTCACCTTTTGGCATAGGAGCCGTTTTAAGTCATAGACTGCCTAATGGTTCTGAGGCACCCATTGCCTTTTTCTTCCAGAACTTTTTCCCCAGCTGAGGGCAACTACAGCCAAATTAACAAGGAGGCTTTGGCTGCAGTTGCTTCTGTCAAAAAATTCCATTAGTTTCTATATGGACACCATTTCGAGTTAGTTACGGATCATAAGCCTCTGTTAGGTCTTCTGTCAGGCAATAGACAAAGTCCTTAGATTTTGTCTCCAAGAATGACCAGGTGGACTTTATTTCTGGCTGCCTATTCCTATACACTGGTTTATCGAGCTGGCAAAAGTCTCTGCCATGCAGATGCCCTTAGCCATTGCCCCTTGCCTGTTCCTGTTGAGGATCCTGCATCGACTAATGCTGTGTTCCTGATCAATGATCTCAACCTTCCCATCACCGCCCTTGATATCGCTGCCCATTCTGCCATGGACAAGGTAATCTCCCAAGTCCTTGACTGGGTGGGAAGGAGGTGGCCTGCAGTTCCTTATGCCCCTGAATTCATGTCCTTCAAAACTCACCAGCAAGAATTGTCTTCTTTGCAAGGCTGTTTATTTTGGGGAACTAGGGTAGTTATCCCTTCCAAGTTGCAATCCACAGTTTTAAAAGTCCTGCATGAAGGGCATCCCGGCATTGTCAGGATGAAGGCCCTAGCTCACAGTTATGTATGGTGGCTGGGCATGGATGCTCAGATTACAAGTTGGGTGAATGCTTGTCAGCCATGCCAAGCTACCAGACCTGCTCCACCAACATCCACTCCAGGCATGTGGGAAGATTCTGGGACCCCATGGTCCTAGGTGCATATTGATCTGGCTGGCCCTTTTCATGGGTGTACATTCCTGGTGATGGTTGATTCTTTTTCTAAACGGGTAGAGCTGACCTTGATGACCACCACAACTTTAGAAGCACTAAGGCTTTATCAAGGATATTTGCTACCCATGGCCTCCCTGACACCATCGTGTCTGATAACGGCCCCCAATTTACTTCCTGTGAATTTGAGGTCTACCTAGATAACCTGGAAATCAGGCACACACTTACAGCTCCTTTCCACCCTG